GGGGGGGAGAGAAGCTTCTCCCTTTGGGCTCTGGCTCTCACCCAGGCAAATAACAATTCTGGGTCAATTTCCCTGATTGCCACATTAGGCTCTTTCAGCCAAAAAAATAAAAAAAAATATTTTAAAAAATTAAAATAAAATAACAAATACCAGAGGCTTGTGGCACCTAAAACATGCACTAGGTTTTAATGGGCTTTCATGGATGGCAGCCATTTGCATCAGAGGCCTAGGGATTCGTTGTTGTTTTCCCTCCCCCCCCCAATAAAAAGCAGGGGAGACGCCGCGCCCGGCTACGTTTTGGACTTTGCCGATCTTTCGGGATGAATTTCCCCGCTGAGGGAAGATCAGGCTCTCTCTCCCCCCCATGCTCTTTAGCTTGGAAAAGGAAGAAAAAAGGAAACAAAAATTCTCCTCACGGTGAAGCTCTGTTCAAGAAAGCTAAACGGTTGCAGATTATTTTCTCCCAGGACAAACAGAAATTGTTTTGGGTTGGTGGTTTGGTTTTTGTTTTTTTTTTAAAAAAAGAGAGAAGATTTGGGGAACCGCTGGAAGATTTAAAAGGTCTCTTAGAAATGACCAGGGCTAGGGTTGGGGTTTCCTCAGGAGCTTCACCAAAATAAAAGAAAAAATAATAATAAAAAGGAAAGGAAAGGAAAAGAACCCCTTTTTCCTTTTTTGGCCCAAGATTTCCCTCAGGGAATCCAGCCACCCCCCCTCTCAGGAGCCCTTCCCCCTGGGGGGTCTGGCAGAGTCTCCCTCCTTTCCGGCCTCCCTGAGGGGGACGGTTAGCCAATCCTCTTCCTGCCTCCCAGGAAGCTTCCAGAAGGGCGGAGGGGCAACACCTGGGCAGGGCGGCTCCCACCAGGCTGCTGGCCCCGGGGCTTGCTGGGAGTTGTAGTCCAGGGGAAAGGGGGCTCTCTTGGGGAGGAAGCGCTGTGCCTGGAAGGGGGTTCCCTTGGTCGCTGGGTGGGGGGGCTCCCCTCCCTCCTGCCAGATTAATGGTGGTGATGGTGGTGGGGGCCTTCCTCTCTCTCTCCCCCCCCCTGCATCTCCATCATCTCCATCATCTCCTCCTTCTTCTCCTTCCCAGCTCTACCTGGGGGTGGTCCTGGCGGCCGTGGTCATCGTGACCGGCTGCTTCTCCTACTACCAGGAGGCCAAGAGCTCCAAAATCATGGACTCCTTCAAAAACATGGTGCCCCAGGTAAGCCGCCTGCGGCCCCCCCCCCACCGACTGGTCCTGCCCTGGGGCGGTGGGGGTCCGTCTAAGGCACACACACACCCCGCTGCTGAGGATTCCCACACACACACACACACACACACACCGCTGCCGAGGATTCTCCTTGTGTGCTCAGCCCGGGCCTGGGGAACCCCTGGCCCTCCAACTGTGGCGAGACCACACATCCCATGAGCTACACGGCGTGGGATGATGGGCCTTGTCATCCAAACTCTTTCCGGAAGGCCTCCAGTTCCCCCTCGGGGAGCCCCACGGCCATCAATCGGTCGCTGCTCCTCTGTCCTGATAACCAGAGAGGTTGGGATAGTTAATCAATTCGATTGACAGCCCCTGGCTGGCCTTCGGGGGGGGGGGGAGTCCTACGTCTTCCCAAAAGTTATTTTTCCAGGGTCTTCTTATAACCAACTCCACAGGGAGCTTAAAACCATCCAAGGGGGAATAGCAATAAATACAGTCAAAAATGTTTTCCAGGGTGTTCTTATAACCAACTCCACTGGGAGCTTAAAACCGTCCAAGGGGGAATAACAATAAATACAGAGTCAAAAACGTTTGCGGTATGTTGTGTTTCTTAAAAAGCTATTTTGTCAGACTGTTTATTACACGTACGGAGGAGGGAAAAGCCCTCCGAAGTGGGCCGATTGGGTGAGGGGACCCGAGAGGAAGCCCTCGGGCCTGGCTCCCTGCAGCTAGCACGAGCGAGCGAGCGAGTGGGGCTGCACAAACACACCGCAGTTTGTCCCTGGGAATGTGGTGCCACAACCAAGCCAAGAGAGA